GGACTTGATTTGGCTGATTTGGCTTGGAACACAAAAAAATTCTTTAAAAAAAAACAACTTTACTTTTCCCCTGGTTCTCCCAGGGAACAGGTTACATCCTGGAGTTTAGGGCACTCTTCTAATGTTGTGCTGTGTGTTTTAATCCTTTCAGGTTGAGGATCACCTCCTGTACTATATGAAGACAGGTGAGTTTCCTCCCCTGGCTGTAGTTTGGAGAGCAAGTAGCCATGGTTAATGTGTTGTATATGAAACTCAATCCCATAGGTGTGTGCAGAACATGGCTATTGGAGCCCAGTCTTCTTGGCAGGTGTAGGCAGAGAAATGTCTTGTTTTTGAGGTCTCTGGTTAAGATTAGAGAGAAAGGTGCCAAGCTGTTCAGCCCTGCCCAGATGGTGGCAGTTTTGACCATGCAAAAAGCAGAATTTGGGGAGCGAAGGGAACTGCACTGCTGACAACAGATTGTAGACACTAGGGGCTAAATTGAGGATTTTGCACTTTGGCAAATGTCTAAATGCTTCACAAGTCCCACTGTATTCCGATTTGTTTTGTGGATCTGGACCTGTGCTACTTCATACACATTAAGCAAAGTTGTGACCCACTGATGTCAATGACAGTTTTGTCACTGACTTTGGGGCCAGGATTTCATCATTACGCATGGTATTCACAGATACAGCTTTTTAATATTTAGTAATTGCTTTCGAAACTTACTTCTGGTTCATTGAATAGCTCTGCATGGTTCCCTCAAAGTTAATCTCTTCAGCAGGGTGATTTGTAAATAACCCTTAAAAACAAAAATTAGAGCTTAAATTTAAAATAGAGCATTATACGAAAGCACATTTTTCCATCATGATTTTGATAAAAATTATTAATTCACAAGATGATTATATCATTAAACCTGGGAAAAATAGTGACAATCCTTAGTTATGTGACATTTTTCACACTGTGACACAATTCCTCTGGCTCTCTGAAACCATGTTCCCCTACATGACAGGAGTAAAGCTAGATAATCCCTGGCATTATTGATACTTACCTAATCTTTCATACTTTGCAGGATTTTCTTGTATTTCAGAAGGTGTGAAGTAATATTGTCCCTCAAGGCATTCTTTCATGTAGCTCTTATTAGGCCTTTCCTTTTGTTTGCGGCTAGTGCTCGAATTATTGTTCCTTTGAAAGAAATTCTGTTCTGGAACTGTGAAAATTCCCTTAAGGCATCTACCTACAGTACGTCTTTCAGCACAGTCAGTCTTGTGATGAACCTCTTTAAAGTCATAAAGGCTACCTCTGTTAAACGTTTGATTTGTATTATCATGATCTGTAAATAATTGGCTCATACTGCTTTGGTTAACAAAAGAACTGCAATGCTTTTTGGAGGGAGTATTATGAATCAGCTTGCTCTCATCTTCGAACAATGCTAGAATGGAATGACTTCTTTCATCTTGGTTGGTATTTGGTATTGCTGTTTCTTCCACAATATCAAACAATGATTCTTTTATTCTGTTGCTGCTTATAGAATCATTACCGGTAATTAGAGCTGGAGATTTACCAGCTGAGTTCATATATCCTGGACTTTATAAAGAAGAAAAAAGGTGATCAGTGCAGAAATACACACAACAATAAATGCTCACACATCAAATTATTAATTTTAAATTTCATGTGTAAGAATCTCAAAATTCCTTTACTAAATGGTCCTCACACTTACTTCCACCCAAAAAGTATGTTGTTTTAATTGAAAAAAATCCTGAATTGTATTTGTTCTTTTATAGCAAAATAAGAACACAGAATTTAGACTTGCTGCTTAAAAAAGAATACAAATTCTATTTTTTGCCCTGTCCAAACATAATAGGATGTATGAGCTATCTTTTTGCCTAAGGAGAAGGGAATAACCAAATCAACCACAGTATGTCACTGCTGCTCCACTCAGCTGAGCTACTCAGGTGGTCCCACACAAGGAACAAATGCAAGACAAACTTCTTCAGTTCTTAAAAAAGGATAGTTTGCATTTGTAGACTGCAATTCAACCCTCCATGAAGAACTCGGTACCATCTAATATCCTGCAGAGGCAGGAATTTTAACTCCCAGTTAAAATAACAGCAACTTTAACAGTAACAGTAAACCCAGTAACTTTCTATTCTACTAACAATGAGTGAAAGTAGCATAGAAATGTCATGCTAAAATATTTGAGAGGACAAATCACATGTGATAATCAAGATTGCATAAACATTTTCATTCACGCCTACTGCATTTACTTTCTTGAATTTTAATAAAATATTCATCTTGCAGAGGAATGTATCAGGTCTGATCCTCTCTTGCTAGTTTACTTCTGGGGATAACTGAGCAAAAAAATGATCTGTTTCTGAAGATCTGTGGTGGGGTGGGGAATTGTCAGGGAGAAAAAAGTTTCTTGCCTACTATAAGATTAATCAGCCCCCTTATTGAGTAGGTACCACTCTGGGGAAAGAAGTGTAAAGGCATGTAAAAGGGTTTTGAAAGAAAAGGGTCAGGAAACTCAATAAATTTGATAGAGATTCTGGGAGAAACTGGCTCCCTTTCCTCATGTAAACAGCAGCAAAAGACTTCTTTAGGTTTTAAAACACTAAATGCACAAGAAGAAATAAACTTTTCCCCCAGAAACTCAAGGATGCACACATTCCCTGTAAGGAATGTTACAGGGATAATGGAGCACTACAATACTGGAGGTACAATGCAGGATCTTTATTTCTATACTTCCCTATCTCTCTTTGTTACTCTAGCCATCTGTTTTAGCTGCTTCTCATGTTGTCAACTTCCTTTTTTTCTGAGCAGTGCATTGTTTCCCCCTTCACTTTCACACAGTTCAGAGAAACTGCACTGTGTCTGAAATGGCTTGTGGTTGTGCTCTGTACAGTTACCCTGAGAGCTTTACTGCTTCACCAAATGGACTTTTAAAATACTAAGTAAAAAGAACTGCTAGATGAGGCTGCACATGAGTATTGAGGTCAAAGCCATGTGGCATTTTCATATTACATCCAAGTTTTAGGGTTGCTGCTTAATAACCTGCTGCGAGACCACAGCTTGCAGATAAATGGAAGTCCAGTACAACATTCTAAATATGTATTAAAATGGATTATATTACATTATTAATATTAAAAACTATAATGTCATACTTTTGTATTGTACTTTAAAAAGACACATTCTTTACCCAGCAGACTGGCAATCTAAAACAAGATACATTCTGGAACAACAGTTCAGGTAAAGAAAGTTGTAGGAGTTATTTGCATAAGGATAAGGGAAGAAGGAGTTAAAGAAATGTTTTTAGCCAAAGGAATG